GGGTTGCGGGTACGATTTAAATATTACTAGTTGGCTGGCTATTGTAATAGGCTATATTTTAAATAACTAATCTTTTTTTGGATCTTAGAATCGATTTCGGCGACATTGAAAAGAATCTAGCTTATAATTAACCGCTAGTCCTACTACTACTACCACCGCCAATACTAGCGATAAAAGAGGACCTATAAATACTATACTCTCTTTATTAGAGGAGACCCGAACCAAAGTTAACTATCGACCGCCAATTCCCCTAGTGTTTTTAACCTTTAACTTCGTATATTCTAAGCACCGGTCCCGTTTTAACCCCCTTAACCCGCTCAACCTCCGATATTTTAACGTTTTAATCCCCGTTAAAGTTTCGATAGCGAAGATATCGATATTTCCACCCAAGACTTATTAGAGTTTGAACGGTAATAATAACAATATTAAGGCGAATTCGGACTTTATATAATTACCTGTTAAGAGTTCGAAGCTAAATAACGTTAACAAACCCAACTTCAATAGGCAGTCTAATAACCCCAATTGGCTGAGAGAATTAGTCTAGACTTATAACGGCCTGTTAACCGTTCGGTTTAATTATTATAGTTACAACAAATTAATATTCAATTAATTACTACCAATATTTAGTACCTCAAAATTTATACCCCCAAATTCTAAACAATTAAGGATAAGGCTATTCGTACTAATTAAAGAATCCTAAAAATCACGTTCAATAGAAAGTATTCACAAGTATAAATTCCCTACCTATATTTATATTCTATAATTAACTTTTTATAGGACAACTAAGAAATTGCTAAACCTCGTCGAAAAAAATATATTGTTCAACGTAGACATCATATTCGCTGTTATAACTAAGAAGAGGATATTATACGTACCCCTTTATTAGTAATATTGATTGCTTATAAATATCCTAATCTATAATAACTATTTAATAATAACGATAAATTTACTTATCCTTATAATCATTTTATATTACCCCGTACAGACCGTAACCCAACTACGGGCTTCTATCGACTCTATAATAACGATAACTAATTTACTTCCCTGAAATATTACATAATTCGACCCCTTACGGACAAGAATAATATAGGCAATTATGTTATTTATAATGAAGATGAACGATTCCTCTACCCGAATTATTACTTCTTTCGATATATTAACGACCTCAATCCCGATACCGGCAACTATATAGTTTATTTATCCGATTCACAATATAATATCTTCTTTCAGTGAAAAGTTTATATTATTTATAATAGTATAAACTAGGGTTCGGATTATATTTCAGGAGACTATTATAAAAGGGACTTTTGTATTTTATATTTAAGTAGAATTAAAGATAAGGGTAAACGTCTAATTAGTCCGCTAAATATTCGTCCAACTAATTCGCCCGATATGTTTATATAATTTACCGACAATAACGACGCTAATATTCAACCTAATATCGACGATTTACTATATTTTATTTATCTAATATATTATTAAATACGCCGTCCTATTAACCGGGATCCTATTACCGGATTTTATGTAGTATACGTTTATACTAGTTTAAATTACAATATTCGACGGGAAAATAAGGTCTACCTTAATTATTATCGAAACTTTCCCCGTAGCAATTTCTTCGATAAATAAAATATTAAACGCAATTATTATAAATAATATTAAGTACCGCTTAATAGAGACGATAAGGACGATAATAATAACTTTTACAATTTTAATAACGATACCGACCTATTTTAAATTAAATGATTACCCCGTTTACAAATGCAGAATAATCCCCTTAATAATCTAAATATTATATTTAATATCGACGACTTCGTATAAGATTATAACTTTCTCGAAACACAATCCCAACCCGAACAACTCCTATATAAAAGAAGTCAATACGGTCTAGGACGTCCTAAAATTATTACGCCCTTACTAGAGCCGGCCGGGCCTCGATTTCCGGATATACTTAGCGTTAAATTTGAACGGGACCCGGTATTTAACGGCGATATAAATACTAGAACTATTCTGGATTCACATTACTAATAGCTTTACAATTACCAAGCTATATTAAATACTAATACTATAGAAAAATATAGCCGCTATAACAAAAAATATTTTTAATTATTAATTTAAAGGGTTAATAATAAGGATATTTATTTACGGTATTACCGTACCGATAAGGATCTTCGACCGGGCGAACCTTTTAAATATGAGAAACTCTACTCGCACCGTAGGAAAACTGTGAACAGGGTGAACGACCACGAACGAATCAATGATGGTGATGTATTGTGTGTGGTCAGACTGTGCAAGTCTGGAGGTCTAGAAGTAGGGCAAGGGAGGTCCCTGTGCGGTGGGGCCATGGCCAGAGGGAGCCATGGCTGGCCGCACGTGACACGGGACACCTCCAACAAAAACTCTATTCGGACCGTAGGTAAAATTTATAAATCTTCAAGTAACTTAAGGGGGTTAGGGTCTAAGATTTCCCAAGCTGGTCGGGAATTTTCATTTATTTTCTCTCTACCTCCCACTCCATATACCCTGACCGTAGCGCTTTTATAACTCCCTAATTTATGAAAAATATTAAAAACATAGGGTTTTAGGAACTTTAAGAATCTAAGGTCGCTAATACTTGTCTGGTAGATAGGGGGATAGGGGGATAGGGGGGTCGCTTAGGTTGGAAGATAATACAAAAATCAACAAATATTCTGATATTATTTTTCGATTCATACGCTTACATCTAGCCAAGTTATACTTAGTTGAAGTTTGAGACTACGGTCCGAATAGAGTTTTCCTACGGTGCGAGTAGAGTTTCTCTTAAATATAACGCAATAAATAATATAGACTTTAATACTTTCGATTATAATTTCCTAGAATACTATCTCCCCCCCCTCGACCCGGTAGAAAAAATATTTATTATACGAATCTGTATCTATTTTAGTAAATTAATTTTAATTTCCCCTACGAAATTACGTAAATACTAATAATATATTACCAGATATTTATACTTTTGCCTAGTAATAACGAAAGTATAAGGGTTATTGTACTAATTTTCTTCTTAATATTACCTATATTTGTATTTAATCACTTAGGCTACCCGAAGAATTCGATATTATTTTACTACGGCTACGCAATTATTAGAATTACTCAAACTTTAATCGAATACGTAGGGAGTTTAAAGTTAACCGTTGTGAAATTAAAATATAGCTTCGGTTTTTGAAAGAAAATTACCTTAAATATACCGATATCGAGATTATTTAGGAACGTTTTGACGCGTTATTAGAAAACGGCGATATTATAGATAATATAGTTCGTATTAATATAGATAATATAATTATTAAGGAATTAGATGAATTATAAGAAGTAAGATTAGAAGAGATTTTGGCCGAGGTTGACCTCGAAGTTGGTGTAGCCCCTAATGTAATAGGTAGTGTACTTAAGGATATCGATTAATTTAGGGTACAATTTTATAGTAATTATATACCCGATCTTAATGTTCTACTAGTTCGATTCGTAAATTTACTGGATAATTAATAACCTCTAGGCTCCGAAGGACAGCCTTTAGGCCAGTAATAATAACCTTTAGGTCCGGCTTCGGCTCCGGCTGTAATACTAGTTTTTGGCCCGGCTCTAGCTCTAAATCCGGCTTCCGCTCCGGCCCTAACTCCTAGCCCAATTCCAGATCCAAGCCCGGCTCTAAATCTAGTTCCTGCCCCGCTACTTAAACGTTATTATATTTAACTAAGCCCCCTTCGAAGCTAACCGATTAACGCATTTCGTTGTAATTAAGTATTATTATTTTAGGTATTTCTTAATTTTTACCCTACTAGTAAGGTTGAATATTTTAACCTTTGTATTAAGAAGATTGATTATAATAAATATATTTAATATATTATGCGCTAATATAATAGCTGATTTATTCGATACGAAATTTTTTAATATATTGCCTTTAATTCCTTTATATATACTTAAATTCATAGTAAAAGTTCGTTCTATGTACGAAATATACGCTTCGACCCGGAAACCTTTGTCGATTAATAAAGCTATAAAAATATTTTAAAGCTCGCTCTAAAAAAGCCTAAAGTTTATTCAATTCGATTGTTCGGTGTTCGGATACCTTTTAAGGTATACGGTTACATTAGTTCAAGAAATCCCGTAAATTATTATTATATATTAATTTTTTAAGTATACTAGCTATATTTATAATTTTTAGTACTGTTAATTTATATTGGGAAAGTCCAGTAAAATATATATTTAATTATAATTTGTAGTTAGATTTTAACGATTAAGATTGTTGTTATATATTTAGGAATAATATTCTTTATAATTTCTATATTATTACTTATTATTTCCTTCGACGATTTGAACTTTTTAAAAAACATATCCTAATATTAAAATTCAAATTCGATAATTATTAGTAGCGGTTGGAATTTTAGGCTCGAAGAACTAGCTATACCTATAGTGTATATTGGGTAAATGATATCGATGCTCCTAATTTAGCCGATCTAAAAGTCCGAAGAGAATATACTAAAATGTAGGGTTTATATATTATAGTATAAAATCCAATATTCGATAGGATTAAGTAGCTAGTAGAAGCCTAATTCGGAGAAGGTAAGGATCTAGAAGGTCTACCTCCTAGTACCTAAAATCCTAATAGTTAAAATAATACTTAGAATTAACTAATCCCGATTTCCTATTTTGTTAAATACCTTAAACGCACCGATATTTTAAGTAAAAGGATAGATGAAATTCAGCTTACTTTCTAAAGATTTATGATTATAATTAATTAGATACAAAAATATATTTATAACGATGTTTATTACCTTCGAGCCCGCCGTTAAATCTGAGCCTTCCTTAATAATAGGCAAATCCCGGACTTTAAATTCCTAATACTAGAACGGAAAATTTACCGGTTTTACTTTGTTAGGAAGCTATATAAATACCACCTCTTTACTATCCGTATTAACCCCGGCTTTTGTCTTTTCGACGATAAACGAAATAATAGTATTTTTAACTAATATAATCCTTTTATTATAATAGGTTGGATGGCTAATATAGATATTCAATTATATACTAATATACATATTATATTTAATTACGTAGCCAAGTACGTTTTTAAGGCTAAGAAAAGGATAAAATCTTATAATAAAATTGCCAACGAATTAATACCCTAAATCACAATTAAGAATCCAATTAAACAATTTACAATTAAATTTATAAATAAGTTTATTATTAAAAAGGATTGGTTTGCTTAAGAGGTTTATTATTTATTATTTAACCTTCTTTTATAGAAAGTACCCGTATAGTTGTTATAATAAATTATCGTTATCGAAATGACCGAAGTATTTTTTTCCTTAATCCTAATATAGATTTCCAGGGTACCGATCGGAGATTAATTAATAATAACGAGGCTAAAGGTATTTATATTAATATAGCTAGCGAGGCCCGGTAAACCCGTTCAATTTATTAAAAGTATATAAATTGTAAAGATTATTATTCTTATATTTTATTTTTCTAATTTATTCTTACATTCGATTATACTAAATTACGTCCTAAACTTTTACTGACCGTACTAAAAAGAGGGTTATTAACTACTTCCCTATTTACAAATAGGATAACGCGAGGAGCCGCCGGAAGTTTAAGCGAGTTAAGCTAATGCTATAATACCCGTATCGAAGGCCTAATAACCTTTACGTTGTTAACGATATTTAATATAATAACTTTAATAATGTTTATGTAGTATATTATAAAACCTATGTTAACGAATTAGTTTACCCCGACGACTACTATAATAGATTTCTACCTATAATGTCCCTCGCAATGCTAAAGATATTAAATATATTAATACTAGTAATCTACATAGCAAATCTATTTACGTTAAAGAGAATAGAATTATACTCGCTAAAAATCTTTAAACTCAAACTAGCCTAATCAATAGCTCGATTAGTACTATTATTAATATTACATAGAATACCGACCCGTCGTATAATATACATCCTAAAGCCGGCGACCCCCCTTTCGTTATATTCGTATATTTCCCCGGTTATAAGGGATCTAACTACTTCGAAGAACTAAATTACCCTAATATCGAGGATCCAGAATATACTATCCCGATATTCCAGTCTACTCGAAAGTTCATAAACGGAACTCTTACTTACAAAAAAAATTAATTCCCCCTAACCATTACAGATATACGTATAATACACAAAGTATAGGGTCAAATATTAGACAAAATCGTTATCGATATTTCAAAGAAAGACTTTATAATTGGTTTATTATATATAGCCGTCTCTCGTATTCGCACCCTCGAAGGTATTATATTCAACGAAAGCTTCGAAATATATATTTTACGTATTAGAAACACCATGATTTATACCTACAAAGCTATAGATATTTGCAAACGTATACCTTAACAACTATGACCAAGCTATCCCCTACCACTATATTATATCCGGGGTAATAACCTCAGCAGCCCTCCAACATCTAACCGAGTACATCAACTCCCGCGCGGTCCCTGTAATATTGACGATAATAATAATAATACTAATAATAGCCGGCCGCCCCGGGGAAGGGGATTACGTAGTAGACCCCGCGGTAGACTTCCTAATACTTCCAAACCTCGGGGAAGACCGCCTACCAATACAACTACTTCTAGTAAAAAACGTCGTAGAAAGCCGCCTACCAATAAAACTAATAATACTCTAAGCAAGGCAAGCAATATAGCCAATACAAGAAGGCCTCGTAAAAGACCCCGCAAGAACACAACTAATAGACCACCGCGATTAAAGGGAGGATAGATTGAAGGGAATAATTAATATACTTTATTTATATAGTTTTTACATGGTTTTTACATAGTTCTTATTTACAAGGTTCTTATTTATAGGGTTCTTATAAGGTTTTATTCATATAATAATAAATATAAAAAGTATTTAAAAAAAGAGTTCAGGACTTATAGTACGAACCCTACCCTAAATCTCTAAAAAACGAATCTCCTAGACCTACTTTAAAGGATAGCCCGTAATTTACCTATATCTTAATCTCTTTACCTTATTAACATCACAAGACTTTTGTAAGCAAATTCCCGAATTCGGTCTCCACAGTTCGGACAAATTAATATAAATCTAAGAGAAGTTAGCGCAGACGGGACAAAGCGTTTTAATAATCATATTGTAAAGAAGAGAAAGAAAGAGGCTCAAATACGATTCGAACACACAGTCTCTACTTATACTAATAGCGGCGCTTTAAGCGTCCTCGCACGTCGTTATACCATGGGGCCCTCATAGCACCCCCTGCGGGGGCTAGTAATAGTAGATGGAAGAGGTAGAGATTATAAAGACGATTAGAACGTTGTTTGGAGTTGTTTAGGATAATAATAGAAATCTGAGCGGGAGGGTGAGTTTGGTAATGTCTAGTAATATCTGGTGATATTTTTATTGGTGTTTTGCTAGTGATGTTTTTGTTAGTATTTTGGTTCCGGGTAATATATGGATCCAGCTTTTCACAGCTTAAGATGTAGACTCGTGGGCGCTTCACTATCTCCCTCGGGCATATCCGGCTCCGCCCAAGAGAAGACTATTTTAAAATTCGTTCTCCGTCCTTACGATAATATATTATCTTAATTATTAAAATACGCTTATTAAAAATATATTTATTTCGGCGTTAATATTAGGAGAAAAAAGACGTTCCCCCCTATAATTATTAAATTAGGTATCGATTATATCGAATTCGATTATATCGAATTCCCTAGAGCGAAACTAAAGCTAAATACTATTCGTCCGAGGGTTTTAAATATATTTAAAATCCTTTCTTAAGTTTATTATTTGGAATTTATTTTAACTGTTGGGTTTTTTAATTCTATTCGTCCGAGGGCTTTAAATATATTTAAAACCCTTTTTTAAATTTATTATTTCGAATTTATTTCAACTTTTTAACTTTTTAACTCCCATTTTATTTGAATTATTTAGTTATTTAATCATTTAATTATTTAAAATAGAGTTTAATTAAGAGCCGCCGCTTAGTAATTAAGAGTAATACATTTAATAGGGATATATATTTACTTAGAAGTATTATACTTTTAGTAAAAAGACGTTAATATTAGTATTTATTAGTAAAAATAATCCTACCCTTACTATAATTACTTATAACATTTATTATAAAGGTATTCTAATAAACCATCTATCCCCCTATTGTCTAATCTATTTCTCTATTATTTAATTCATTATTTCCCTTCTTATTAATTGATTAATCGATTAGTATTATCTACTTGATAGTAAATCCTTTAAAATACGTAAATCCTATTAATAGAATCCTAATATACCGTATTGTTTAATTATCTTCGGGTAAATAGGATGCCTATTAGGTTAATATTACAATCCGAACACCAGGGGGTTGTAAATACAATTTAAATATTATTAATTAATTATTGATTTAGTAATAGGTTATATATTAAATAATTAACCTTTTTTTTATTTTAAAATCCATTTTAACGACGTTAAAAGGAATTTAGCTAAAAGTAATCGAATATACAATTTATAACTGGTAATAAAAGAGGTCTTAGAAATACTATATTATTTTTATTAGAGGAAATACGAATTAGATTTAATCGACGACTATTAATTCCCGCCGTATTTTTTAATATCGACCTTCAATTTCGTATATACTAAGTATTAGTCCTATTCTCACCCCTTTAACCCTTAATATTTTAGATTCCGGCCCCGGCCTTTTAAGTTCTAACATTTTACGCTCCGGTATTCCAACGTTTTAATCCTTATTATTAACGTTTTAATAGCGAGGATATTGATATTTCTACTTAAGAATTATTGGAAGCTCAACAAGGTTAATGGGGAGGCCAATTCGGATTTTATATAATTACCCGTTAAGAGTTCGAAGTTAGATAATGTTAATAATAATAAGAATAACCCCTTTAACCCTAATTTCAATAGGTAGTTTAACCCTAGCCAATTTAGAAAACTAGTTTAGATTTATAACGGCCTATTAAAGTCCCCTATATATAATCATCACTTTTATAATAATTCTACTAACTAATTTAAACAGTATATTAATGTTTAGTCGACTACTAATATTAATACTTCCCGGTTCAAAACTAATACTCTATAATATTAAGTAATTAAGGAAAAGGCTATTCGTATTAAATAAAATATTTTATTTAAATTCGGCAGACAACATTTATAGCTATGTTTTTAATTTTCGAGACTTTAATAATTGTCTACTAATATTAGTATTTAATAGGATAACGAAGAAACCGCTTAAACCTATTGATAAAGAGCCTAGATTTAATATGAATATAGTCTTCGTTATTGTAAAAAGGAACTAGATGTTATACTTGCCCTATTTTTAATAATATTAATTATTTAAAATTATCCTAATTTATAACAGTCTACCCTTAATTAGTAAGGATAAGTATAAATATAATAAAATTTACTTGGTCGCGACGATAAATTTATATATCTACGTGATTATATTATACGAAGTTTTAAAAATTATAAATTATATATAAATAATTATCGATTTTATAACAACGATTGTTAATTTACTTACCGGCTTTATTTTATTATACGACCCCTTACGGATTTGAACCTAGCTACTAGCAAATATATAATATATAATAACGATGACCGATTTATTAATTTACATTATTATATTTTCGATACGTTAATAATTATAACCCCGTTGCCGGTAATTATTTATTTTATTGGCTAGTTATATAATATTATTTTTAGTTTTAGTAAAAAGTTTATATTATTTATAATAATATAAATAACCGTTTAAATTATATTTATAGAGGGGAATATTGGGAAAAGGACTTTTATATTTTATATTAAGGAAGAGTTAGGGATAAGGGTAGGGATTTTTACGAGGAATGTCCGGCTCGCTATTTCCCAATTCTATTAGAGTAGTATATTCTAACCTTAATTAATATTTTAGTAAATTAATTTAGTACCCCTTTTATTCGACCTAATGATAATTACTTTATTTCTTCGGATTATTATTATATACGTCGTCCTATTAACTATAACCGTTCTACCGGCTTTTACGTTATATATTTATATATTAGTCCTACTTATAATATTCGAACCGAAAATAAAATTTGTTTTTATTATTTTTAAAACTACTTTCGAAGCGAATTTACCGACGAAAATAATAATAAGGCACTTAGCGTAAATTCTACTTACTTTAGGGCAATAACGACAATTAAAATAACAACGATAAAAATGACTATATAGATAATTTCGATTACAATTATAGGGATTATATCCCTTCCGGAAATAATAACCGTTTACTAAGGAGGAGTAACCCCTTTATGTAACGGGTCTGCGAGAGTAAGGCACAGCGAGCAGTCGTATAAGGTTGAAATGTTATATTTGACAAAGGAAGCAAGAGAGGAAAGACTATACTAGAAGGGTGTAGTCGAAAGAAGGTTTTGTATAACGTACGCACGGGCCAGGCAGTCGTAGGTCTGGCCAACCAGAAGGTTCGTATCCCTATCAATAAGGCAGGTACCCTATCGATAAGGCGGGATACAGTTTGGTAATAGCCAAGTTTAACCCTTAGGCTTTAGCCCTATAATATTACCCCCCTACTCCCCCTTGGGGAGTACTGCATAGAATACATTGTAGCTAAATATACGAAAAAGATTAAAATCCAGTATAACTACACCAAGCTAAATGCCTATCTAAACGGGGAAAATCAATAATACTAGAAAAGATAAAATTCTTCTATTTAGGCCCCCAAATAAACGTTATATAATTACTTGCCTACTATTTGAATGGGTAACAAGAATATATCCGCCGTTACCCTTATAGAGTTATACCCCGGCTAGGGTACTAAGATTGAATTAGGGGATATATTTAGACTTTACCTATCCGGGAAACGCTTTATACAGATAAAAATCTATACCCGCGATAGAATATAATTGGGGTTATTATTTAATACTTCGTATTACTCTGCTTTTCTTACTAGTAGGAGCTTTATTTTCACCGCCGTAAAGATAGCCTAGTAGTTCTTATGCCTACAAAATATAACGTTTATTACCCTCCTACGGTTGCGTTTTATAATAGATATTATTAATAATATAGTTGGGTGGCGAAGGGTATAATACGGTAGTTTTATTACCTATTTAATTAGTAGATAGTATGCCTAGTAAGCCGTAGAGGTCCTTCCTTTTAGATATATAATACTCCTTCACCCCTAGTATTATTAGGGCCGCCGTTAATACGGCTTCGCTCAATCCGAATATTCTTCCTCTTTATAGTTATTACTATCGTAACTACTTAAGCCCCTACCGGATTATATTCGAACGTTATTTATCCTCCTCTTTTTATACTATTTAAACTAGTAGGAACTACTCTTATAATTCGTGTACTTTCCCTCTTTCTTCTACTTATTGTTTTAC